GCGCCAGAAGATTAGAGGTGTTACAAGAGAGTAACAAACATAAAAAAGAAGAAGGGGAGATAAGGACACTAGATGCTTGATAGGAAAAAAGAAGAAAACCACACCAGAGCACCCGCCAACCACCCACCACCAGTGGTGTCAACAACCACATTTTTAAACCAACCACTACAATAATTATACTTTCGGAACTAGGAGGAAAAATACACTAATCCTTTATTTCGTACAATAAGATGCAGAAAGAAATGCTTAAAATCACTACATCAGGTACAAAAGAATCAACAACCACAGTAGTGACAAAAGACACAATGAATACTGATACATAAAGAAATTGAAACCACAACAGGGTTAAAAATTAAAAAAATGATCCCTGTTCCCGAAAAGTATTACATTTTCCACACCATGCATTAATAGGTACGTCATGATAAACACAGTATACTGAAATATGATCAGTTTTTTTACATCATGCTAAAGATGTTTCCGCTAGCCTCAAATCTCTCTTATTCAGAATTCAATACTGATAGTGTCAGATACTAAAATTAGATCAGGATTGACACAAAAATAATTTCTCTCTCTGGGAATGCCACACTTTTATCCTAAAGTGAGTAAAGTTCTTAATGTGTGGAACATTGCAGTCTCACTTTGAATAGTGAAAAAAAAAAAAAAATAGTAAGGAGTCATTAAGAGGTGAGCAAGCAAAACAAAACTCGGATATAATTTTTTTTCCCCTTAAATAACACTCATGATTTGTTGCTACCTTTCATGGGTTTTTTGTAAAATATCCCTGAACGAATCAATCTTCCGCAGTTGCTTGCATAGGTTGTGAATACGTATGGACTCTTCATGGTTTACAACAGCTTCTCTGAGATGGCCTTTGCCTGCAGGAAAACAAAACAAAATGAAGAACCAATAAATAATTAATGTATTAAATACATTAAAATAAAACTTGCTTTCCAGCTATCAAACTATGACAGTTCGAGTCTGAATCAAGACAAGCACATCAAACGATAATAGTCATTTAGTGAAAAGAAAAAATAAGACAGACAGAAACAACAGAGTGAAAGATATGGAGCAGAGTAAGGCCTACTAGTGGTGCCCTACAAAATTTATGATATTAACCTTTTAAAAAAAAAAAATAACAAATGACATGAGACGGAATCATCTTATTTTTACTTTTACTGTTCACTGCCCACATCAACAATGTTCAACTATTCATTACATCAGGCATTACGGCAGCATTATGCATATCACTGTAAAAATAAATCTCCCTACAGAGACCCACACAGGCGTCTTTGCTTTTCATTCTTCTTTTCTTTTTCAGCTACAAACGAAACGGTACCTTATTATTAAGTTCTTTTGTTTGTTTGTATGTTAAAATAGAGTTTTACAACACTTGCAACACAATTAGGTCATATAAGTGCTGAAGATTACAGGTGTTACAAGAAAGTTACAAAAACAAAAAAGAAGTAGAGAAAAAGATGATACATGTTTGATAGGAAAGAAGAAACATACCACACCACAGCATCAGCCAACTACCTACTGTCAACTTTTCAAAACATTTATAAACAATGACATTATAAGGAAGGCACACAGATAAATAAGAAGAGGAGTCAAAGAAACCCACCTCCACTGGGTAATAAAAGTAAAAACCAGCACATACCTAAATTCTTTTGCTCATCATCAGTCACCGGCACCTGTTGCACACCATTCTCCGTTGACTCTGACTCTGCATGTATGGCCTCAAACATCATTTTCAATTTCTTCCCTTCTCTGCTATCTAGATCACAGGACAGAAGAAAAATATAGAAGGCATGAAATGTACAAATAGGAGGACAAAAGAACACTTAGCCCCTCATAATATTCGCACCAATAGAAGTGTCATTTCATGCTGAGATTGTAATTCCATGCACTGAGAAAGAGCTTTGTTCTTCCCTCTGTTGCTGTCTCATTCAACTAATGAGTCCTGAACTGTTATAACTATTACCTCTCTCTTATAATGAACATACATGGAGAAACGGCACTTCGCCGGTCCACATGGAGAAACGGCACTTCGCCGGTCCACACAGAAGATGAGAGTTCCATTCCCATATGGGGAAGGTTTTTAAAGAGTACTGCTAGCCATTTGCCGAAAAATGGCATCCCATTCAGCCTCCAGCTGGCCCAAACAAACAAGACTAAGAATAACCGCCTCCATAATGATCTTAGTTGGATTCACGGGGGTTGCATTGCATTTACAAACACAAAAGACAATCTCTCTTCTGTGCTCCATCCTCGGAGCTACAACGGGTGCATCCTCTTTTTCAGGCCAATTGACCATCTTAAGGATACCAGACCAGACCTGGTTTAAAGCAAACAGATCATCAAAATATACAAAAAAAGGTACTTCTTAACTGACACTTTAAAAAGTTTGTCTTGGTCAGTTTTGTTTCTTTTTTTTTGTTTTTTTTTGTTAGCGTTGTGTTTGTGTCAAGAGAAGAACATGGACACAGAAAAAGTCAGATCATTTTAATCAATTTTAGTTATAGAAAAAAGTTTTTTTTAAAAGACAGAAATAACAGGAAAAAAAGAAAAAACAGGTCCTACAAAAGCTTAAAGACGTCATCAAACCACACCATGCTTATGATAAAAGGAAAAGGACAAAAAAAACCCACATGAGCAATTCAACATCAGGACCTACCTTTCTGCTCCAACAGGGCCAGGGCGATGTAGTAGTGGGACAGACCCCGGAAGAAATGCTGTTTGGTCTCGGCCATAGCCAGCCAGGAAAATGGGAGGTAACTCTTGGTGGGCTCAAGAGACATTTTCTCGTGAGTATCCTTGTACCTTTGAGAGACCTGAGTCAGATCAAAACACACAAGTTTTAGACTCACTTTCTACTAAATAGAAAAACAAGTTTTAGACTCATTTGCTTATGGAAACACATTTTAGACCCATTATCAATAGAATAGAAAAACAAGTTTTAGACTCATTTACTTATGGAAGCATTTTAGACCCACTATCAAGAGAATAGAAAAACAAGTCTTAGACTCATTTGCTTATGGAAACATTTTAGACCCACTATCAATAGAATAGAAAAAGAAGTTTTAGACTCATTTGTTTGTTAACAGAAACACATCACTTTCCGACTGTCTTCTCTATAATCTATTCAATTAACAGCCTACCCATTCCCATCATATAATTGCTCCACAGCTACAACTTGACGCATAAACGAAAAAAGAATACAAACTTCAATTATCTATTCAGAAACAGAATTACACGGGCTTGTCTGATATTTTCAAATGCAAACCATTAAAGTATAATGTGTTGTTTATCTCAGGCCCTCCCCCTCCTTACAACAAACCATTGCTGCATACTTTGTTGTTATATTCCCCCCTCCCCCCGCTCCCAATCCTACCCTTCATTTTGCCCCCCCCCCTGCCCCAAATGGATTGTCTGACCATACCATGGAGGCTTCTTGAGCTATCTGTGTGCAGGCAAAAATGCCGTCCTTGGACCCACAGATGAGACGACTCTCAAGAACACATTCTTGTGCCTGGGCCTAAAAAACAAAAAAACAAAAAATAATTTTAGAGGTCAAGTCACAGTATATGGATAGTTTAACTTCGGCTGTAAAAACCACATTCATCGGAAATGTTGAGAATGAAAGTAAAACTGAAAAGAAGTATAAAACACAAATCACAGAAAAGTATGTTGCTTTTACAGGCTCGATCTTGCAGAGAAAATTTAACAAGTAGCCTAGATGCAACACAGCCAATTCAAGGGATAGGAATCTAGACAATATAAACCTACTCATAAAAAAGGCTGAAATGGCCATTATGGACAAATAACTAAATGAAGTAACTAGTTTGGCAAACATCTCAAAAGCCAAACGGATTTGAACCTCAGCAATATAACAAACAAACACATCGAGTGGAGGGAAGAAGGGAACAAGTTAGAAAGGGAAGGTTGGTGGTCATCTTTACATGATATAACCACCCCCCCCCAACATATTCCTAACTTTGAAATGATGACGACACAAAGTTGACATCACTCCAGAACCACAAGAGTTTAACTCTTTATCTCCAGCAAGCCGCTTAGAGGGGCTCACGGTCGGAACTGCTGTGTCGGTGAGCTGCTGACAGCGGCTCAGGGCTCGGGCACATTCCTTTATGACGACTTCGACATCAAATTACTTTTCAGAAATTGCCGAAAACAGATTTCTTTCACCGGAATTTCATTCACTAGATGAAGTACTATCATAATAGGTTCGCGAATTTCGATTTACTGACCTCTGTAGTGACGTTTTCGTCAAATTTTAGATTCAGTACCAAAAAAATGCGTTTATCCCCTTCGGAGATAAGGAGTTAAGGGGAGTTTTTTAGTTTACCACACCAGTCTCATTCTGATAGCACAAAATTTAAACAGTCAAAACCACTGTAACGACCTGTCCAACGTACACAACTATTTCCCACTTCCCCATCTCGAGTTGTTTTTCTTTCTTCTGTAAGGTCGCTTTTAAGCACAAGGGGGATATCCCGAAAAATGTTGTTTTGAGAAAATCTAATGTACAGTTTTTGCCCCATGTTCAGTTCCTTTAAAAGACCACGAGAGTTTTCTCTATAACCAAACAAATATACACACCACTGAAACCAAACTTCTCTTATAGATAGGACAATTCCCACTTTTGGTGTAGGTCAAGATTTCTGGAAACCCCCGAAATCTGGGTAAGCCCACTTGTCCTTAAAAGCGACCATATATTAAAATAACACTGTCCAAAAGAATCACCAGTTTAACTCACTTACTACTGGACCCTTTGACCAGTCACAAGCGTTGAAGACTGGCGTTTTTTGGAGTATTTCAATGGCGGGTGCCACTTTTCTGGTCAACAATGGGTGGGGAGATATCTTGAAAAGGTTAATTTGAAGCTTGGCAGACAGAAAGAACTTTTCACTTACCAACATGAGAGAGACGAGCATCGCCAGACTTTCCTGCTGCATGTCCTGACTGGGCGCGTGGCTGAAGTGTGTTGCCAAGTACTGGAATATTCCCGCAGCTTTCTCGAAGTTAACGATGGATTGAACCACACCTTCTTTAGTTGTACGATCCTGAGCAGAAAATTTGATACGCCAAATCAAAACAATTATTCAAGATAAAAGAAGCTACATAGATAGATAATAGTATAGATAAATTCCACTTTATTGATCCCCCATGGGGGAACTTTGGGTTACACTGGCAAACCGAGATACATGCAAATTATATTTCATCTGACAAGCTAATTAGAATGGAAAATGTGAGTGGGAGGTTGGCAGGTTCTCTGGTGTGGTTTGCTCCTTCTGTTCTATCAACATCTATCATCCTCATCGCTCCTTATTTTTTCATGTTATATTTGTTACTCTCTTGTAACACCTCTATACTTCAGCACCTACATGACCTAATTGTGTTGCAAGTGCCGAAAAACTCTTTCTCCCAACAAACCCCCCCCCCCCCCCCCCCCCCCAAAAAAACCCCAAACCAATAGAGAATGGGAGCAACTGTTACCTGCTTGCACGCAATCTGTGTGTACAGGGCCCCCATGTTGTACAGAACACTGCCTTTCTCAAAGCCAATGGACCGCTGTGTGTTGGGTACACCTGTCAGGCAGTCATACCTGATGAATGGATATGTACAGGATATATCAGAGAGCAATAATAATATCTATAATAATGATAATGACAATAATAATAGTAATAATAATAATGATATGATAAGATAAGAAAAGATAAGATAAGATAAGATAATACTTTATTATCCAAGAGGGAAATTTTTCTTGGCTGCATGCACAGGACCGTAAAAACACATGCACGTATACATAACAATAATAGTAATAATAATAATTAAAAAAATAATTGCATTTACATAGCACATATCCACGCTCAACAGTATGCTCTATGCACTTTCCAAACATCAAAATTTTAAACAATTAAACATCAACAGAGCAGAAGAGGAAACATTTTGGAAGTATCAGATACGAAAACACAAAAACCCACGTATACACACAACCTGTGTCACATTTTTTGGAGTAAAGGAATGAGACAGGACGAATAAACAAAAATAACTATAAAGAAATGCAGACACACAGACAGACCAACATACAGACAAAGACATATTCACTAACCAATGAAAAAACACGGCCAACTGTCTTCGACTGGAGAAGAAGCGACGCTCCACATAGCTGAGCTGGTTGAAATATTCCATGAGCAGCTCTACGCCAGCCTGATTCCTGGACGGAGTGCGTACTGCCTGTGAAAAAGTTATTCAAAGACAAAGGTAACAAAAAATAAAATCAAAGTAAAACATGAAACTATGAAATGTTAATATAATGCACTTCTAACACCAGAAAGGCATGTCGAGAATCAATTTTTTTCCCATGATTCACATTTTTTCTCCAGAATGACCTCGCAGTCGTACACGACTCTCAGTGAAAAATAACAAAACATATCGATAAGCACAATATTATAAAAGCTGTAAAAATATTTTTCTTGCATGATGGTGATCTCTTGTTCTATTCTTTTAAAATGCTGACTAACTGTGCAAACAAATAAAAAAATACAACTGCTTATTTTCATTTCCTATTTTCCTTTGAGTATGAAATACACTGCAGGGAACCGAAACAAAGGAAACACGAAAAATGTCAGATCATTGAGGAAGAAAATTTGTTTTGAATCTTCAAACAGTAATTTCTGACCATTCCCACTTTTTCATCACACAAGATTTCTGGTAATGCTAACTTTTCTTCTCCGGGATTGTAAGTGATTTACCGACTTGTTGAGCAGTTTGTAACATAACCCAGTATTTCCTCAGATAACTCAAGGAACCCATTACACTCTCTTGGAGTGGAGTGGGGTGGCTATTTTCAACAATTATCTCACTGAAAGTAAAGTTGTTCTCACCTCTCGGAGGTCCTGTAGTTCTTTCATCTCTCCAAGGTACTTCTCCCCATCCTCACTGTAATGCTCCAAGATTTCATCCTGAGAGGGGTCATGCCATAGAAACGTTTCACTTAGCTTTTTCAAGAAACGAGCCAAAATTTGGCTTTCACACAACAATTTCACAAGCAGTCATGAAGACACCTTTTTATTCTTAGAGATACTTTAAGCCCACTATCTGACATCTCACGAAAATGAAAGAAATGTAATTTTTATTCTCAGAGCTGACATCTCACAAAATGAAAGAAACGTAATTGCAGGTGTTTCACACCCCCATTGAAACAATTTAGCAGTGACATTTGCTATATAATAGCAATCTATTATGACTGTCATTGCTGAATAAGCTACATAAAGTAGGACACATGATGAAAGACGAAATGAAAAGGTAAACATTTTGAAACAATGGCAGGACATTGTGCCTGAGCAGAATACACTGTGACTGTGACCCACAGAAAACTTTGAATACGCACGCTTCATATGTCAGTGACGTTACCTTTGAATTGAATCAGATTCAAGCAATTTTCTTATTAAGAACAATGCATGCACATACAAAAATAAATGAATTGTTTACAATTACCTTGAAAGCAGTAGTAAAATCTATGGCGGTCGTCTCTTTCAAGCCTAGAGGAATCATGGGAGTGATGCTGGTGGAGCTGAGGAAAAAAAAAGAAAGGGGGAGGTGGTTATATAAATAATACTGTTTCTCGTTCAATTGAAATGGGTAGAAAAGATAAACTATTCCGAAGTTATACTGCTTGGCCATTTTCACATTCAATACCGCATTTCACAACATTACCAGAACCCTCCACCCCATCCCCTCTCCTGCCTTCCAAAAAAAAAAAAAAAAAAAAAAAAAAAAGCCAACACAAGCCGACTCCGTTTCTGAGTCTCACACATTACATTACACTAGTAGATTTGAAAGACATGAAGTCAGTCGTCTATGTGAAAAATTATCATTTGGGGGGGGGGTCTTTTTTTTCTCTTGGTCAACAAAAACAGCAAGAAACATAAACAGCCACCTGGTGTTTGACATTTTTGCTCAAGGCAACATTCAACATTGCCACCGATATCAGAAATGGGGTACAAGTTTTCTAGACCC